CTCCCTCCTTCCTCCTCCTCCTGCCTCTTTCTCCTATATCCTCCGTCTCTCTCGAACTTTAAGCCCCAACATGCCCTAGATGGAGACTTGCAAAACCAAAATTCAACGCGGATATTCACATAGTATCGAGAATAGCGAACATGAGCTAGAAAAATTGAGAGAGAGAAGTGATCAATTTGGAGTAATGCGCTGGTAGACCTAGTTAAGTATGTATGTTCCTGTTTGGCAATCTGAATATGAAAGCTCGCACTTTGCCAATCTCCAACCGCATGCGAGGGAGGGAGCTTTCCCCTTTGTCATGGCACATCTATCTACACCTTGAGTTCGTCAACGACAGTAGCAGTTCCCTTGACGAGTCCACCGCTCTCGACCTGAGTCGCATCGACAATGAGTCTGCCGGCAGCGTCGTGAGTTTCATCCCACTCCTCGAGCTGATCGACTGGGACCTTGACGAGTTGGTGCATATTGGCGCCACCCTCGAGTTGCTCGGTCTCCTGGCGAATGCGATATCCTCGCCATTTCGGGAGTGCGATGATCCAGACCCAGTAGTAGACTCCACAGAGGCCGACACTGGTGGTTGAGAATGTTAGCTGAGTCTCGGCAAGACAACCTGGGTGGAATACTTACATGCCAATGCCCACAACGACAGAGGTGGCATACCAAAAGCTAACGTTGCTTGCTCCTTTCACTGGCGGGTACCAGGGCATGACGACCATGTACAAGTTGACGAGAATGTTGAAGATGACAGCAGCGTCCCAAGCCCTGAACGGCCCACGCGGCAGGCCAGCCTTTTGGTGTCTCCAGCGTACAAGGTAGATTCCCACTGCCATCAAAACATTGAACATGGCAACCGGATATAACTGAAGACTGACGACTGTGGATCAAGAATGAGCATTCGGACGAGTGATTCCAGGGGTGCCTTGAAATGAACATACCGAAATTGAAAGCATCCCCAGCCGGGGGAGCCAAGATCATGATCACTGTAAGAATATACTTAATCAGATACGGTCCTGCGGGAGTTCCGAACGGTCGTATCGAGGACCAGAAGCGTGGATATGGCAGGACACCTTGCCTGCCACATTCACGGGTGATTCTTGACACGCCAATGTTGCCAGCCAGCAAATTTCCGAATGCACTGAGCGCAATGAGAAAGTTGAGTCCCTTGACGGCACGACTGGAGCCGAAGACTTTCTCAAAGAACAAGGAGGCAGCAATCTGCTTGGAGGCCTTTAGCTCGTCGATGGGAACGGCGGCGATATAGGCAACATTGGCCAGAATGTAGAGGGTTGCCACAACAAGTAACGAAACGGATGAGTATATCTTGATGACCTTGATGGGATTCTAGAACAAGTTTGTCAACTTCGTTGTACTGTTGCCTTTTGACCCACAGGATCTCACCTTGACCTCGTTGACAACGTTGAAACTGTTGTTATATCCTCCGTAAGAGAAAATGATATACACCAATGCTTGGGTCAAACCATAAGGCTCATCTGAGGTGCCCGAGAAAGCGTTCTTGAAGTTTGCCGTAGGATTTTTCACGCTTGTGTGCCCTCCGAGGACAACCAGTCCAGTTATGCTGACGAAGATCAAAGTAATGAGCTTCACTGCGCCAACAGCGTTGGAAAAGATATATGCAAAGCGATTGTTGAATGTAAGGACCAGTATAACAACGGTCCATGCTGCCAAAGCCACCCCCTTCAACTCCCATGCTGTCGGTTCGTGGCCGTTGATTTGGAAAAGGTAGCTGGCAAGGACGATGCAGTTGCTAGAGCTGAAAGATAGGATCAGGTACCACAGCGCAAATGTGGTAGGGAAGAGCCACTTCGGTCGAGGATATGCTTGTTCCAGGTACACCACTTCGGAGCCAGATCGGTTGGGAAAGTAGGCGGCGTACTCGAGGTAGACGGCCAGCGAGGTGGCGCAAAGGAGGAAGCCGAGGACCCAGTAGATAAATGAGAGGCCTACAGACCCAACACCAGACAGAATGACGGCAGCTAAACCAAGTGTCAGTACTTCTTGAGACAGCATCGTCCAGAATCAATACTAACGCGTCGAGTAAACACCGGTTCCGATCATCATACTGATGTTAAGGAACAGGATCGTGATCCGCCCAACAGAATAGCCAAGCGGCGACTTGGTCTCGACAGGAGCACCGGATGCTTCTTGATAGCTCGGGGGTGATTCATTACCACCCTGCTCCACGGTGTATTTGAATTCCCCATCGCCGACAACGGTATGTTGAATATCGGTACCACTCACTGACACTTGGTGAGGGTTGTCCCTACCAGGGAGGAAGAACCTGTTCAGGATAGCCATTAATGAAGATCTGGCTCTGTCGCAACTCGAAGAACTCAATGTTGACAGACAGACAGAGGGACTCGCTTATAAGTCAGGCTGTCGGCTGTTTTATGTTTGACATGGGCCAGGTCCTCCCCCACGTGGCGATCAGAGCTTCCACCTCCTCAGCGTCGTTGAAAAATCGTCATGGCCAATTTGGATTGCACCATTTCGACCATCATCTGTAGCCGATTGAAGTTTTCGCTCTGCAAGGACCTGTCGCTCGCTAATCGTGCAGCAATGGTCCAAGGGCGAACATGGCTGCGTTTCTCAGCTCCTGTTCCGGTGCTCAATGGCCAGCGTTGTAGTCGTGATTCGCTCAAGCAATTGCACCATCACTCGTAGCCGTAGAGGCGATGCTAGATCAACTGATATTCTGGATTTACCAATGGTTGCTCTGTCTTGTGTCGTGGTCTTGATGGTTGTAGAAAAGTATATTTGGGGATTATTATCAAGCAACGGGTATGCATAAATGAATATGTGCCAAGGCCAATTTTGATGCATTGCTGGTTCGGTGGAGTATCTCGCAAGGCCAAACTGAGCCTTGAATCTAGAACACAACAACTGCGCTCGTGCATCCCTCCTAGGACCATTGCCGAGGTCAAGCCTGAGAAAAAGCGCAAATATGTGCCGCGTATAGGGAATAAGAGAATCCCACGGCGGAATGGAGCCAGGGGCGCGTCGACTTCGCTTCCGTCTTCGTTATCGTCTTCGCCAGAGAGAAACAAAATCTCCTCCGTATGATCAAGGAGTAGCCTGATGAGGCTTCGGCAAACAAACGGGAGCCTTGTTGATCTCGGAGGACAACACAATGCCCAAATTCTCTGTTAAGTCTATTGCCGTGCTGCAACGCATTAGTGAGCACAGCCGTAGCCCCATGATTGTCCGCGGAGACTTTGTGTGTGCTTTGTCGTTGTGAGAGGCCCAAGGTCCGATTTCGTCAGAAGCGCGATATATGAGCCATGGTTGGCAAAGCTCCCCAAAGAGGTCAAGATCGTCCCGTGCAAACAGGTATATAAAGGTAGTGCCATTTCTCCCGCTTCATAGAGCAGAGACACTTAGCCGCTGTTGCCGATCTCCAAGTAGCCGAGTCGTCAGAGTAAGTGCGGCGTCGAGTGAATTGATGTTATGTGACGAACCTTTGGTCGTCAATGTCGCAATCACCAACAAATATAGAATCGTAGGCGCTAGGACAAAAGCGGCAACGCTGCCACGGCCCGAGCCTCAGCCGTCCAGCCAATAAGCTTCGAGTCATACACGTGGCGGCGCGTGATTAGTCATCGAGTGTCTACCTCTCGACCTCCAGCAACGACCTGCTTCTGACCATGCAAGCCTTCTTACAAGCTATAGGCCGAGATTGCTGTTCATGACGCTGTTGGGTGCCAACCCCTCACTCTTGCAAAAATGAGTTTTGACTTGCCAGTGAAGACACTCCCCACGCCACCCATTGTTCGGCATCATTTGGACCTCTTTCTCTTGTCCACCAAGCATCTCGACATCGATTCGGTAGAAGTGGATCATTCTGCCATCGAAGAAATCAGATGGTATCGGTATCAGATCCTAACTTCATGATTCAACACGATGCCGATTCACGAGATCACCGGAAACACTCAGAGTCGCTTCATTCAGGCTGCGGCCCTCCTCCACTTACTCGACCCGGTCCATGGCGAACCAACAGCATATGGCCTCGATCAGGACTCAAGCACACTTGAACAGAATCGGGAGCGACTTCTGAAGCGCAAGTTTCTCGATTCTTTTGCCCTTATCTGCGCACGGAAGAAAGACGGTGATACCGTGTCCGCGGCTTGTTTGGAGGAGGGTCATCCGGAAGGAACGATAGTCCGCATTGCAAGTAACCAGGGCGTCTCACAGTCCACACTTGACGAGTTGCGAGAATTGGTGGCTATTCTGAATGGCGTTGCCGGCGGAGGTGAGTAGCACCACTACGTCAACCCCACCACCGATTTATTGTAGCTCTCTCTCGCAGAGTATGTCGCATCCGATACGGAACAGGAGGTCTTGACCCGAATTACGAGCCTCGATGCTGTCAGAATACGGTCCTATCTGAAAGATATTCGTAGCGTTGGTAACGATGTGAAGGACCTCGTCGAGAGTTTCAGTGCAGCACCTGCGTTTCTCGAAATCGACCACGCATTAAGCTTCCCGAAATGGATTGCACACGTCTTCACGATACGAGATCTACCTTCGGAACTTACTCCTGAAGATCTTGTCCGCCACGTTCAATGGGCTGTGGAGGCTCGACGAACTTACCTAACGTGCCTTAGAGCATTGTTCCCCGATGAATTGCCTCGATGGGTTTACGCGATCCACAAGCTTGGACGGTATGCGATTGCATCCACGGTCTTGCTCGCCTTTGCATCCGAGTTTCCGACTCTATTCAATCCAATGCTTGTGGAACCTACCATCGCCCCTCCGAAAATCACATTCAAAAGTGTGGAGGAAGAGATGCCCTTGACGAGCGTGCTTCGAAGACTCGCCAATGATCAGGAGGCGAAGCACTATGTCTCCCGCCTGGCTCAGATCTGGGGGGCTCGGGACCCTGAAGTCCATTTCCGAAAGACTTGCAATTTGCAGCTGCCTGTTCATGCTGAGATGCAGCTCGTCAATTTCTACGACAACAACCCCTATAGGAGACCGTTCTTTCGCTTCATCGGGGTTAGCAAGAAATCATGTTTTCTGTGCCAGTTGTTTCTCGCAAGGCACCCGCAATCATTCAACATTGCATCTTGCCACCAGAAGCTCTATCTCGCCTGGAGGCCTCCACCTGCAGCCAATCCGACTGTCTACAGACAGTACAAGGCTATTGTGGCTGACCTGAGCAAATCCATGGAGTCGATGGCGAAACATGAACTTAAAACCCGTCTCGGTCTCCGACGGCCTGTCCCTCCAGAGTCAACGGCTGGCGTGTCCATCTCAGGTCTGATGGATCTTGACGAAAGACCGCATGGAGTATCCGCAACCTTGGAGATGGCCACTACGTCAATCAAATCCGTCGTGCGGGATGGTGAAGCACATGCAACAACAGCATCGCTTCAGCCGATCCCGGTGGTGGATGTTTCGTCCCCAGACGAGGAGTTCTCTTTCACCCCTTACACCAGCTATCCAGTCGGCGACACACTCTCGACCACCGAAATGGTCTTCCATGTGCTACGCCCGAACGAACCCCTGCGTCAGGACATCATCGCGATACGTGATATCATGGATCGATTTACCGGAAACCCATCCTGGGCCAGACTGGTCGATCTCCTCATGGATGAGTCAGGGGTCGGTCTCAAGGACGGTGACTGTCTGATGGTGAGGAATCGGATCCGAGTCGGCAACGAGAGGCAGCTTCTTGCTTGCTTGCAGTACTTGCGGAATGAGGCCGTGTTGAACTCGGAAGTCTATGTATGCAACTTCAGCACAGAATCACAAGGCAAGAAGCAGCAGGTAGGAGGGTCCATATAATGGTCTAGTTCGGACATCGTGGCCACTATCACAGTGCACCTGGATCGCAATAGTAGTAGTGATCTTTCGCTGCGGCGGGTACACGGGGGAAACTCGGCGTAGCGACCAATCACACGTGACGGGAGATCCAATCCCTAATCCCTACGAACAAACCCCCCAAACGTCTCAACAACGCATCGGGCCGTACAGGATCTGCAGGTTGATCTAAATCACTATTCACCGAGCCAAAGAGGAGTTCCAGATCTGTGACACTCCCCCTTATTTGATCTCTCTAAACACTTCAGGATATCATTCCCGGGTAGAAATACAACATTGAATTCTGTCGGGTCAGGTGAATAGATAGTTTTCTATATTCTATCAGAAAAATTAAAATTTCAATCTGTGGGTCCTGTCCAGAAGGTCAGATCGCTTTGAGAATCAAACAACCAAGATGCGCGAGGCAAAGAGGCCGGAGACCCAAAGATATGAGATCATTCCCAACCCCGGCCCAATCTCGGAGGACGTTTTTGGTGATGCAGAGGTGCAAAAAGATCCAGAATATTTCTGGCTGCTTCTTTTTTAGACACCCTTGAGGCTGTTGTTCCTCACGGCCTGAATGTCCACCTTCTTCAGCGTGTCGGCCACATGGACCTTGCCGCCGTCGGTGATCATGGGCGGGCCCTGGTATCCCTTGCGGGCGCCCAGGAACCACCACGCGGCGACGAAGATGGTGAATCCACCCCAGATCAGGCAGGCGTAGTTCATGGTCTGGGCGTCGGTCGGGAGGTAGTACGGGAAGCAGTAGATGACGAACCAGACCATCATGTAGGCGCAGGCGATGAAGTTGAAGACGAAGCCCAGGGCGCCTTTGAGGTGGAAGGGGCCGTAGACTTGGATGTTGCGCCGTTTGGTCAGGAGATGGGGCAAGATCGCAGCAATGTAGGCTATTAGGGGGAGAAATCTGATGTTAGCATCGAACGGGGAACAGGGATGGTCATTCCAACTTCAGCCTAGCTAGCTAGGAGCGCCATTTCGTGGTGGAGAGTGCCTGTGGTGGAAGGAGAGTGCGACTTACAGGAACTTGAAAGCAGGACGAAAGATCCGACAAAGGCATTGAAGGCGGTGGTGCTGCCGACATAGATGGCTCCAAGGATCGTGACCAAGACAGCGGACACGATCGTCGAATTGAACGGCATACCCAGTCTCTGGGAAACCGTGCCCAGGATCTTGGGGAAGGGCGTCGCCCCGTCTCGCGAAAGTGCCCATAGAGTCCGGCCGCACGTAATGTAGAGTCCACACACGCAGATGCCGATGCAGATCAGGACGAGTGTAAGGAGGCCAATGGCGCCGTTGGCCGACCCGGTGGCTTGCCGGTAGATCTCAGCGATCGGGTATGGGGAGTCAAAGAGAGCGTCGTAGTCGTTGATCGCGTACAGAATAGCAATCAGATAGGAGAAGCCGGTGATGAAGCCGATGCTCATCTGGCATGCAATAGCGATAGGCACGTTTCGTTGAGGGTAGGGGATTTCTTCCGCAAGATGACTTGACTCGGGCGTTAGCACTTCTTGTCGCACGATCTCTCTTTCTCAGACAGTTCCTGACCTTGTAGTGTCTGGGGTTCCCACGCTAAACGCTCCGTTGAGCATACCTGCAACAAATACGAACTAAATCCCAGTTAGTACGCTGAATGGTTGAAAAGATCCCTTTTCTGCTGTTTTGACAGATGGCAAAACTCACCCCATTAGGATACCCGATGTCGGCAGTCCATTCAGTCCAAACAAAGGATGAAGACGCATGGCCGGGTCGGCCGTCCTGGCCTGGCATGACAGTCCTGGAAAGTGTTAGTAGTCCCCTTTTATAAGTTTTGTCAGAGAAAGATAGTACTCACACCACGATGATGGTGATCAAGAAACCCGCGAGGACGAAGAAAATGCCCACATTATTCAGATGCGGCATGGCCGTGTTGAAGAAACATACTATTGGGCATGCGATCCAGGTAACGATCACATAGGTAACAAAGACATGCCATGGCTGAGAAACGAAATCCGGATGCTTCAGGGCATACCTGCTGATTGTTAGCACGTCGATGACAATCCCCGACTCGAGACGTCCTCACATCTGAACGACTGTATTTGACTGCGTGACACTTCAGTTAGCAAATAACACAGTCTATTCTCCATCTTTGGTAACACCCACAAAAATCGATGTCATGGACGCAGCACCCAGAATCCAGGCGAGACAATTCCACCATCCGGCGAAGAATCCTACGACGCGGCCCCATCGCTTTCCCGGAGTGACTGAGGCCCAATGATAGACGCCGGCGGAAGATGGAATGGCAGACGCAAGTTCAGCGATGCATGCTGCCACGATCCAGTAGAAGACGGAGACGACGAGGAATTCGTACAGCACGCCTGTGCTTCCTGTTAGCCATGCTTCGTGAGCTCCCAGAAGAGGCGCACACACCGGGTGGGCCGCCGTTGAAGATAGCGACCAATATCGAGCCTCCTATGGCTGGCCATACATTGCCCACGACAAGGCCGACACCGGCGAGGGAAACAAGACTGAAGTTTCGCGACAATTCTTGGGTATGGCCAGAGGCGTTGATGAAATTTCCCCCCGACTCGGAAGCTTCTGACTCTGTCGCGAGCTCTGGGTTTTCGTTCTTCTCAGCCATGTTGGAGATCAACGCCGGACACGAGGAAGTGAAGAACTAGGGAAAGGGACAAGAGGAGCAGAGCGGAATTGACATAAGGGAAGAGAGATAATGAAGAGGGCAGGTAAGACTAGACTTCGTGTAGGTACATGAAAAGCGTGGAGAAAATCTAGACCTCCACCAATGAAGGCAGATTGGTGATCTTTGGATAGTGTCTTTCTCCACAATGTCTCTTCAAAGCTGTTCTCCGCTCACAATACAAGTACGCAGCAGTACAACTGGTCTCGCCACAAATGGATTCCTAAGTGACTGGGTCGGTGGTGGAGGTCCGGACAGGGTTCGTTCCCCTCAGCCGGATCATGTGATTGGACAGGAACCTTGATTTTCCTCCTGCCAAGCCAGGAACTGCTTCTCCCTCTGGTTTGACGCGGCGGAGAATGCCAAGACGCGATGGGGATTTTCCGCGCTAGCCGCTTCAAATTTTTCTTGTCTCCCACTGAAAGCCTCCACCCCTCTCCTTCCATGAGCAAACCATGTGTCAACGGAATCATGCTCTGCAACCCAGCTATCAGGAGTGTAACCTATTCAGTCGATTGCACCGACCCCTCAATCAGGCGGTTATGGGTCTCACTTGTTTCCCCTTCACGTAAAGTACATGCCCCTTGTACTTGTTGGTAAGCCTGGTAAGGTACTGCCTGTGGGTGGCCTGTACACGAGCCACTGGAACTCCCTGGTGCACCCCAGTACGGCCGTTGAGGCCCCCGTCTGATGGAATCTGGCGAGATCTGGTACCTGAACATGGCACGTCGCTCGATACAGGCCTACCATGTGGCAAGTGGCGAAGACAGGGTTCTTGAAGCCCTGACCAGGTTCTAATTCCCAACGCTTCAGCGAACGAACTAGTGCAACGACCTCCTGCCCAGCCATGCCATCCTGCCCCTACGAGTATGCTTCAGGTGCCACAGCTTTAGCCTTTAAGGCTCCCGGCAGCGCACATCCCGAAACAGACAAATACCTCGTTACATGCCCAGCATTGGTTGACGACGGTGTGAAAAGTGGGAGAACCGAGTCATTGTCCACCCCCTTTTCTCATTTTCCACCGTTTCTTGTGGGTTCCGCAACTAGGGTTTGAACGACACTCCACATGCTGTCTGAGCTAGAGGGGATATTGCAACGTCCCTTTTGAGACTGTTATCTCTCGGTCGCTTCGGCACTGGAAACCCAAGAGACCCCAGAAAGTTACTTGTACCTCGTACACCACTCGTATTATTCTATTCAAACATGAGAGGACCCACGAACCCCGTCTGCACTGTGAACTCTCCATCTCTCTCTGCTCACATCGACCGTTATCACTGACTTCTCGACGTTGCCTCTGCCTGAGCAGTTCATTGGGAGACAGCACTCATGTCGACGAATCCCAATCCCGGCTTCGTCCCGGAATCATGGAGTTTATATGGCGTGGGCGCATTCCTGGTGGTCTTGCGACAGTCCGTACCAACAAGGCCTTGCAGCCACTGTTCATGAGAAGACCCTTCTAACGTGCCATGTACAGGATCGGCAGGATCAAGCGGGTGGGCATCAAGCACCTTGAAGTCGACGACGCCCTCATTGGCTTCGGTTTTATTGCCTATACGCTGCTGGTGGTGGCTTTCAACCAAATGCTAGAAGGACCAGGATCCAATTTGATGACGCCTGAGGAGGAGGCTGCGCTCACGCCAGAGATCAGGGAAGGGCGCGTGAGAGGGAGCAAATGGGTTTTTGTGTCTGAACACGCAGAACTACTCACAATCTGGAGCATGAAGGCTGGTGAGTTCAAAGGGCTGATCCCTTCCCTTTCGGGCCACCTATTGTCCAGGGCGTTCGTGAAGTGGACATTGCGTGCTGACAGGACACACCTAGCCATGCTGGTTCTGTATGCCAAGTTGATTGACAAGACACGACAGCGACGATTGCTCTGGGGAGTCGTGATCTGGGTTTGTATCGCTTTTGTGGGAGATGAACTTGCCCTCTTTACCATCTGCCGTCCCCTTTCTCAGTACTGGGCCGTGCCGGCTGAAAATTGTGAGTTTCTCTCGTATTCTTTTCATGTTGAAACCCTTCACAATGCTGACATGACCCGCCAAAAAGCGCAATGCTCTAGCTATCAATACTATCAGATTGTCAACGCCGTCTTCAACATCTCGACCGATATCCTCATCATGCTGATGGGTATCCCACCAGTCTTATCCGCCCGACTTTCGCTCCAGCAAAAGTTGATTCTCGGCATCATCTTCGGCATGGGCGGCTTCGTGATCGTCGCCGCCATCCTGAGGGCCATCTACTGCCTGGTCCCCTCGCTGATCTCCTACGTCTACATGAACTGGTACTTCCGCGAAGCCTCCGTGTCCATCTACGTGACGACCCTGCCCGGAATCTGGGTGTTCCTCAAGGAGATGTTCCCCATCATCCAGAGACTCACGAGCCGGCCGGCCACCAAACCCACCAATTCCCGTACCGGCGAGCCGCAAAAGCAGACGTCGTACTGGAATGAGCCCAGCAGACACCACCGCAGTCAGTTCGACGCGAAAGACTTGGACTATGACTTGGACACATACCCAATCAGCAAGTCCATCGTCACCACCACTGAGGGTGACCTCGGCAGTCACGGCGTCCACAGTGACAGTGCACACGGCGATGCGGATTCGACCAACTCTATGCGATATGACTCGACACTCAATGAGATTAGGTGCGACAAGACTTTTACCGTTGAGAGGATTCCCCGTGATCGACTTTGAGTGTGGAGCCGCAGAGTGATGGAGGGAAAGGTCCGGGAGATTCTCGTACCCAGAAAGAATGCCGCATCGAGGAGAAAAAAGAACAAAATCATGCTCACGTTTCCTTGTTGTTCGCAAGATTAGCGCCATGTATGTATGATGTTAAGATGCACCAATGCGAAGGGGAGGCCGTCTGTTGTTGTTTTTTGACCGTGATAGCTTAGAGATCAGGCTCGATGTGCCATGTATGTTAGAGATGACATGTCGCAAGACACAACTCACGAGGCTGGTTACGAAAGGATGGGATGGGTGGCTCAGTCTTTCTTGTAACATTGTCCTGAATCGACGGAATTGAAGTGTGATTGAGGTCGGCTTGTCTGTCATTTACCGATTTTGCTCGGTACGAGGCACGTACCGAGCACATCCCGAGTACATTCATCCAGGTAAGACCCGGTACTCCGCTTGGGGAGACTGGAAATGGTTTCCGCCCATCCGGTCAGCGTCAAGCTCCTTTGTATATTGCCGGCTTTCATGTAAGTTGTCCTGCCTTATTTTCAATGTGGCAGCCTACTCGATGATGATCGATGAGAATGGCTTCTTCAGTCACCGTGCAGGAAACAACCCTGGGTGTAATCGGTGTTTGCTTGTGAACAGCTTGGCAGCCTTGCAGCCTCTTACCGACTTCGGCCAAGGCTGAGGCTGAGGCTGAGGCTGAGGCTGTGCAGGGTTTTTTCAAGGCAGCCTGGCCCTCCAACCCGCTTGTTTTAATCAAGCACCCCGTCCACCCACATCCAGTTCCTCGTTCTCGGTCATCCTCATTGTTTGAAACGAGACACCCGCCGGACACTTTGTCTTTCAAGGCCCTGACTATCGCGCGCGCAATGGTGTCCTTTTACAGCTCTCAGAAATGACCATAAGACCCTCTCCCGCTGACTGTCCTCCTGCTGGCGCTATCAGTGACATGATTTTGGATAACAAATGAAATCCAAGTCTCACTCTCGCAGATCAATGACCATACCATAGCATCTCAAGCTATGTTTCGGTTCGCAAGTGCCATCCCATCTCTTAGGGGAGTGTCCAATGTATCGACCCAGAATCATCCAAAATCTTCGGAGGCGGATGATCAAGTCCCCCCATTAACAGCAATCTCCCCGGGTAATGATCATGACGCAACACCCATACAGGGTATACCCTCTTGGGCGCGAGAAATGAGCAACGCACGAGTGAATCGACACAGTCGAGCCTCGTCCATTATTTCCACCCAGTCCAAGTTCACCACAACGACATTGCAAGAAGATGCGCGCAGCATTGACATCAATGTCGGCGGCCAGTATTTTCGAATTAGTCGGGATGGCTCCAAAATCACGGCTGATGCACCCCCTCCGTACACCGGGCCAGGCGAATTATTGCGCTTCCAAAGAGACCGAACAAGCGATGTTATGAGCGTAGACAGTCGAATCGAAGCAAGTGTTCAAGATGTCGAGGAAGAGGACTTGGAGGAGGATGGGGCTGTCACTCCGAGGTCAGCATTCACAGCCATCGATCATGATGCTGTTGTCCGAGCCAATCTGTTGGATCCGACACCTATTGAAATACCATCACCCGTGCGACATGATCGACTTACCCACCGCTCGTCCTCGGCCACGCTCGTAATCAGCGAGTGCACGTCTACTCCTGTTAGTGAGTCGGACCAAAGCCTGGTCAATGAAGAGGACCCTGGAACTCAGTCTGGTCGGAATCCAGATTATAGCAGAAGAAGGGTGGTTTCAGAAGATCTGATGCTCGACAGAGCCGATCTGACACCAAAGTCGTCTCCAATGAGGGCATACCGGGAACGCTTGCCTCGACTTATCACGTCGGGTGAGATTGTGTGGGCTAGTCATCGCCCTCAATTATATCGACAGCGACAGCGAGCCAACTCATGGGGAGGACGTCCACTGCAAATCCGGTCCGCTGGCGCAATCTTCGGTGACGTGTCTGACAATGGTGTACCACGGTCTCCAGATTATATAGGAAGAGACGCACGTGGAATGTTCCATTTCCCTACTAGAGCAGCCACGACCCAAAATACCAGTACTAGCAGAGACGGCGAGTCATCAGCCAGTGGACCAATGCCTCTCTACGTGAGCGAGACGTCGGACGAAAGCAATACACCTCTACCGATGGACGACGAGAATGATATTTCCCTGCACTACGCGCGGATGATGCGGAAATTGGACTCTTCGCATCGTAAGGCACTCCTCATCAAGGACAAACAGTTGGCGGAACTTCAGGAGAAACTCAACGAAAAAGACATCGTGTTGAGACAGCAGCTACGGGCCAAAGACTTTATCATTGACGACCTCAAGAAACGGTTGAGTAACCTGGAAGGGAACATAGAGGTCATGCTGGAAAAGGCCCGACATCAAGTCGAGGATCTGTGGGAGTCCCGGTGGAAGGATCGTGACTTTCATCTGCGAGAGCGCATGAGACGCATCGAGGAGGAAGCCCAGAAGGCCATCGAGCGGATGAAGGCTTGTCAAAATCCGTGCGAAAGATGCGCGAAAAGTGGTGAGTAGAGGGGAGTTGACTTCTACAAGACCCAGCGCCGCCAGGAATGACACGGAGGTGACGATCGAAACGAACATTGAGGGAGGATGAGGTTCCTTTCTGCCGTATTTGTGGACGAGAGACGACCTGAGATAAACAGCTGCGACGTATAATGGGGAAGTAGGTTTCCAGATATAGGAACCAAGAGATATCCAAGAATCAAGGACAGTGGTGATGCCTCTGGGATTGTTGTACTTGTACGAGGTAGATACAAATATTAGTGTCTGGTGTTGGCCGACCATTCAGATTTCAAGCACTCTGCAGTCTGTCAATGGAGCTTTAGTGACCCCGCCTGTTCCCCAGCTGCCCCTAATAGGCGTTGGTTGGCTCTGGCAGAACATAAGTGGGGGTGGGCGATAGGCTGATGAGAGCCTGGAGAGGAAGTACAGCCTAATGCCTAAGAACATCAGTGCTTGGGTCCTGCCTCCCCGGGACGCGCCTAGGGATCGGGGATCGCGCTTTTTAGTTAGAGCGCCAACCAACCAGAATTAGGCATCATCGCCCAAAACAATCACCGGTGACTTCATTCCCAATCCCCAGTCCGAGTCCTGTTTCTCGCAGCTTCTCACCCCACGCAGTTTCCTCAACACTTACCATACAACAAAAAACCTCAACAACATCTGGCCTTTTCCCGCCTCCACCTCCACCTCTTCTACCCAGGTGACTTCCAGCGTCAATAGTGTGATGGCTCTTCTTTGTTGACTCCTGTACTTTCTTCTCTTCTCTCCTTCTTGACACCTGCCTCTTCCATCTTGTCTCTCAGTTTGCCTCTTACCTCATACAGCGTCCTCAAATCCCCAATCGACCTGCATTCCTGTGTATGGGCCGACTCGCCCTTCCTCCGTTCGACGGAACCTGTCGTTGAGTCTTATTCAGGCAACCTCTCTGTGCCCCTTCCGTCTCCTTCCTCGATTGTATTCTCGGAAAGAGCTGGGCCATGCCGTCTCAGGCACCGTCGTCCAAGGAGGCTCCCCCCAAGGCTGCCCCGCGCGGGCGAGGCAAGAAGAAGGGCAACCAGCTGCAAATACCATGGCTTTATGACTTGGTTCTATGGGCACTCTCAGTCCTGATAGATCTCTTCTTTCGGGAAGTCCATCCCAGAGGAGCATGGAAAGTCCCAAAAACAGGACCGGTCATCCTTGTGGCAGCACCACATGCTAATCAGGTATGCCATATACACACTTTGTGCCTGGCCACTGTACTCACACCCCATAGTTTGTCGACTCTCTGATTCTGATGCGGATTCTCAAACGCGAGGCCAAGAGAAGGATTTCATATTTGATTGCTGAAAAATCAACGAAACGCAAATTCATTGGGACTCTCTCAACAGCGATAGGGGCCATCCCTGTTGGCCGGGCTCTCGACAAAGTCAAGCCAGCAAATGGCAAGATATTCCTCCCGGACCAAGATAACGATCCTACCCTAATTCAAGGTGTTGGCACCGACTTCACGAATGGCGAATTCGAGGTTGGTGGGTTGATAGTCCTACCAAAAGTGAGAGGTCAGACCCCCAGTACGGAAATCGCAGAGATCATCTCCCCGACCGAACTTCGTCTCAAAAAGCCCTTCAAGTCGCCAGAGGCTTTGGAGTCCTTGACCGGCAATGGCACCGTTGGTGGGGATACTACAAATGAACAACAGATTGAATCTCGCGGCTGCTCATTCAAAGTTGCTCCGTATGTGGATCAAACCAAGGTCTACAATGCAGTATTCGACGAGCTCGACGCGGGTGGCTGTATTGGCATCTTCCCGGAAGGTGGCAGTCATGACCGGCCCGATCTCCTACCTCTGAAAGCAGGTGTGGCGATCATGGCTCTGGGTGCCGAAGCCCAACATCCTGGATGTGGTGTCAAGATTATCCCAATCGGTATGAACTATTTTCACGCCCACAAATTCCGATCGAGGGCTGTCATTGAGTTCGGGCATCCTATCGAGGTTCATCCCGACCAAGTCGAAGCATATAAGGCAGGCGACCGGAGAAACGCGGTCGGCTCACTACTGGAAACAGTGTTCCAGGGTTTAGTGGCTGTAACACAATCGAGTCCGGATTACGACACCCTGATGCTTGTGCAAGCGGCTCGCCGACTTTACAATCCGCTAGGGAAGAAACTCCCTCTGCCGTTGGTGGTGGAGTTGAACCGGCGTCTAGTGAAAGGATACACGACATACAAGGACGACCCGCGCGTTGTCGAACTGAAAAAAGACGTCCTTGAATACAATCGCCAACTTCGCGCGCTTGGTCTCCGAGATCATCAAGTGGAATGGGGTAACCCCGCCAAACATCCGTGGTGGCACATTCTTGGAACGTTGATCTATCGACTCGGTGAGCTTTTCTTCCTAGGCATTGGCACTCTTCCCGGGCTGGCCATGTTTTGGCCTGTCTTTGTCACCACCAAGGTCATATCGTATAAAAAATCCAGAGAAGCTCTTGC